GCCAGGCATGGGAAGATTTGGCTCTGTTCCATAACATTTCATGTCTTTCATAGTTTTATGTGCAACACATATTTTATGAATTGGATAAAAATAACTTTATGAAAATCAAAGTAAATAAATGTTGCATTTAAAAAAAAAACTGTATGCAGTCCAGATTGCATAATTTGCCTTTTTTCTTGAGCCAGACCTTTGGTTACTTTAAAATAAGCCAAAACCATCACCTGGTATATTTGAGAACTTCTGGGTTTGTACGCGAATATGTGTTTGACCATTTATGTCATAATTACATGCTGTGTTCAAGTCATATTCCTTTTCCTCACGCCATCCAAAGTAGCATAGTCAAACTAGTATTACTGTCAGTGGTGGAATCCCAGAGGTCATTTGAGAAGGGAGTGCCTGGCTGTAACAAAATATGGCAAAAATGTGTGGAGATCATAGGATCATGTGATTTGGAAGGAACCTGTAAAGGTCATATTGTCTAACTACCCTTCAATGTGCAGGGACATCTACAGCTAGATCAGCTTGCTTAGAGCCTGACTTTGAGTGTTTCCATGAATGGGACATCTACCACCTCTCTGGGCAACTTGTTCTAGATGTTCCAGATGATTCTATTTCAAAGATGCTGTGCATATCTTAAATCCAAGGCACTCATCTTTTATATATATGGCAAAATTGCCACCAACCAACCTGGTATGCAGATATAGATGATCACATAGTAGAGAAAATTTTAAATTCTACTTCCTGGTAAAAGGACTGGATGGTTCTCTGGAAGCAGTTAGTCTTCTGTGTAGTCCTCCTTCTCTTGACACTGGAGCTTCCAGTCTGTTGCAGCTAAGCCTATCAGCAGAAGCAGTCTGCAAGAGTTTCTCATGCTTCATCAAACTCAAAAACTGATTTACCAAAACACTAGAGAAAAAAAATAAAGCTATTCACCATTGTTCAGAAATCAAAGACTATGGACCTTCTCTTCTTCCAAGTAATTGCTCCTGCAGAGAGCCTCTAAGGAGATCAACTTACTCCTCCAGGGTTCTGGAAAAAACTTATTGAATAATGCATGCAGACCAGGTAAATCTGGATATAGCTTCATATAATAATGCTGATAGCCTGAAAGGCACACCATAACCATTCCCAAAAGCATGAAGCCTCATCGGTGTCACTATAGTTAGTATATCCTTTTCTCACTGACAATTTATGTCTTCCAATTGTGTGTCTTCCAGTATTTCCTAATTCATTCCCAGTGAGAGGTAATTACCACTACAGCTGTTTCTCAGTGTCCAAGAAGCCACAGCCGCAAGGAATAGCACTGCATCTTCTCTCCCCAAGCAACCACGAATCTGGTGTTGTATTGTTTGTGTGCCATTTCTTTGAACTGGGAAGCCCTTAAAGAAAATATTGCCAGCTGAGATGAAATGTACTAACAAGACTTGCCCTAGAGTTTCTACTCAGGGAATAGGCAATTCTTGTAATGTAGCCCTGAAACTCACTTCTGCTCATCAGTGTACTGGTAGTCGTCAGAGCAGTGCAAGGAAAGCAACTGGATGACAAGAAGTGATATTGACTCATATTACTACAGTTGTGTGTGCTATTTTTATTTTTTTTCACTCTTTTTTTTTTTTTTTTTTCCTACAGTAAACACATTTCTTAACAACTGGAATTGTTATTTTTTTCCTTTCTGAAATTAATATCACATCACCTCTACCACTCTATAGGGAATTCAGTTTACTAGAGGCCTAACATTATGTTTTGTCCCTAGACCTGTACTTCACAAATGCAAGAAGCTAATGCCATAGAGCAGAGGCTACAGAAGGCTTAAGGAAAGCTGAGGTGATTATTTCAATCACTGTCACCACTAAAAATCATAAAATCATGGAATATCCTGAGTTAGAAGGGATCCACTAGGGACCAGCGAGCCAACTCCTGGCTCTACACAGCACCATCCAAAATCCAAACCCTCTGAGAGCAGCATCCCAGTGCCCCTTGAAGAACTCTTGCACTCAGGGCCATGCCCACTGCCCTGCGCAGCCCGTTCCGTGCCCACCGCCCTCTGGTGCAGACCCTGTCCCTAAACCCCAGCTGCCAATCCCCTGGGCCCTGTCGCTGTCACACAGAGCAGAGCTCAGCGCTGCCCCTCTGCTCCCTCTGAGGAGCTGCAATCGCCATCAGGCCTCCCCTCAGTACCTCTGCTCTGGTCTAAGCAAAACCAGGAACCTCAGCAGCTCCTCACACACCTTGCCCTCCAGACCCTTCTTCATCTTCATAGCCCTCCTTTGGATGCTCTCTATCAGTTTTATGCCCTTTCCATACTGTGCTGCATAAATTGCTCCCAGTGCACGGGTTAGGTTGCACCAATGCAGTATAATGCAGGATATCTTTAATGTTCTGAACACATCAACCCTCGTGACTAAGATCTGCCTGTAACTTCTGGAGCAATGTCCACAGGTGGATCAAAGCAGACTGAGGGAAGTATGACATATTTCATGCAAAAGGATGAGGGAGTGAAAAAAAAAAAAAAAAAAAAAAAAAAAAAGAAAAAAGAGCTCTATTTTCCTGTCAGATTATTTTATTTTATGCTATTCATTGATGCTCATAAAAGCAAAGAGAGGTGGCAGACTGGAGTTCCCATTTACCTATCGGTCAATGGAAGCATATTCATCTTTCCTCATATGACTGCTTTTTTTTTTTTTTTTTTTTTGCTTTTTTTTTTTTTTTTCCCCAGCAAAGATTAAATACTTTGTTACAGGTCTGGGCATGGGAGGTACTCCAGTACCTCTAGTGAAAAGTAAAAAGTATAAGCTAGATCTTGCTTTATCCAATTTACACTGTTTATTTATTTTGGGAAAAACAAACAAACAAAAACAAAAGAACCTATCAACTGTAGCTAATTAAATCAGGGCCCTCTGTCCTACTGTTCTGCAAACTACTGGTCAATATGGAGCTAATATGCAGATTTGTATTTTATTTCCATCAGACCAGAGGCTGATCTGTCTGCTTTTCCACTGCAGAACACAGACTAGCAGTTGGATAAGATTTAAGTAACTGGAATTAATCCAGAGACTTGTGGAAGGAAAGAAGAGTAATAAATGCACAGAAGGGTGTGTCGTGCCTCACTATTCAGTCAGATTTCCTCTGACGTTTTGGAGCAATTTACAACTTCGGAAGGTTCTTTCACCCCCTAAATACTGCAGAATAAGATGGGACTGACTGTGCTGACAGATAGATATTTTAAGTGACTCTGAAGTAGCTATTATTGAAAGAATCAAGCCTTTAAAATATATTTGGTGCTGCAAAATCCCAGCAGTTGTGGAGAATTAGTCTGGCTTCCTCCTCAGCTGATCTCTAATATTTGCAAGAAAGGAACTCCTTATCACAACAGGGACTGAATCTCCTTTTTCCTCCAAAGCCTCTAAAACCAAGCGGTAGTGCCTCCAGCTTGAAAATAATCTGCTTTCACAAAAGGAAGAATAGAGTTCTGATATTTTCCTTTAAATGTTCTGGTGGTTATAATTGGACTTTTCTAGTTGTATGGATTTCTTTTATGGTTATGTTTTTGCTTTTTAATTAAAATAAGAGAGTTAGCAAACACCAAGAACAACCTTGAGTTAAATTGCATACTGACTATTTCATGGTAATGGACACCTCCCCGTTTATTTATCCCTTCATAGAAAAAATGTACCAAAAGGTAGGATATATATATATATGTATAGATTTTTTTCAGATATTCAGATTTAGTTCTAAGTTCCTCACCTTTTTATGTGTCTTCAGTGGAAAGGTATCTAGAGAACTGAAGTAGTGGAACAATCAGTACTATTACTTCTATTAAACTTCTTTTATACTTCTATTAAAGTCAGAAGAAAGTAAGGTACATGAAAATATAATTACTCATCCCATATCATACAAGAGGCTGATGGAAAAACTGCAGAAAAAATCTGTCACTCTGAGTCCTGGGTCAGTGCCCTATCAGAAGGTTCCCACTAGCTGTAAGGAAGAATTAAATATTTATACAGACTGAACAGAATTGTATGTCTCGTCATTACGTCACTCAGAATTTGTCTCTCAAACAAAATTTGAACTAAATCCAAAGAGCAGATTGAAGAGAAATTAGATATGAGAAAGAATGGAAGATCAGAACTATGGAGTGGGAGAGAGTGGATTGTTTTGTTGTTGTTTTTGCTTTTTTTTTTTCTTTTTCTTTTTTAACAGACTCCAGTGCCTTTAAGAATATGTACATTTCTATATAAGAATAAAGTATGCCTTTTGGGAGGTGTTTACTTTCTCCATTTCCAGCAGATTTACCAAGTAGCTACAGGACTCGTGCCAAATATCAGAGGAAAAAATTGAAAAAAAAAAGAGAAAAAAACAACAACAAAGACCATCATGACTAGCTGTCAAAGAAGTACCTTCCTATGAAATCTGATTGTTCCAAACAGGTTTATAAATTACTTTCACACACATTAATACACACATATCATGACTATGTGCTGTAATATTGTCCACTGAAAACTGGTAACACCCTAGCTAGATTTCTCCGTATTGTGCCTACTGATCTATCAAGATAACATCATAGGCACTTCTAGGCACCTTGCACAAACTTTGCTTTGCTATGTTTCCTATTAGCAGGTGTTTGCTTGATAGGGCAGAGAACTATGCCACCTGTGGTTGCAAAGGATCTTGCTTTGAGGCTTCATGACTTGTAATTCTTGTTAATTCAAGAGAAAAAGGAGAAAGAGAAAGGAGAAAGTGAGAAAAGAGCACAGTTATATTCTTGATATATCTCTTGTATATGGTTGTATTATAGCAGAATATATCATTTTACCTTTATGCACTTGTGCAGGTACATTTTCTATTTGTCTGTGTATTTATTTAACTAACCCATTTGATGGAGAAAAAATTCCAGATCCAGAAAGGTTGAATTATACATTCATATATAATGCAAAATAACTTCAGATCAAATCTACACACTCAAAGTTTTCTCATAAGTAATCTTCATGCTTAAATCTTACCTCTACTCCATCTGTAGTTTACAGTGGCATGAGCACTATAATAGAACAGCAGCAGAAGCAAAGTCTTCCAAAGCATCCTTTTCTGTGAAATATGTATGTCTAGCTATATATTAGTTTCTTTCTTTCCTACCTCCCTTCTTTTCAGGAATAAATAAATGGTTTTTCCTACCCCCCACCCCCTTCCCCTTTGAAGGAGAACCTGTCTGATCTTCTGAGTGCAGCTGAATTCAGTGTGCAGCTCCTCTCCCAAACCAAGTCTCCTCGGGATCAGGAAACTTACTTTTACAGACAGACTTTGTTTTTATTCACATCTGGAATGACTCATGGTGCATGTGAGTTTGCTGGCAGCTGTGAGAATAAATATCATTACATTTTTGTAGTTGAGTTTCATTTGTTATATGGGCCAGTTGGAATTTATTTTCATCCAATAAAACAGCCACAAAAAACTTCATTAAAGTGCGCTTGAGTGCTAGATATGTTGCTACTTTTCTGTAACACAGGGAGGTATGTGCTAACCTGGATCTAAGTCAAAAAGCTTCTCTGGAATGATGTACAGCTGCACTTGGATGCTTAAGTCAGGGAGTGGAGCATATGTTCTGCAAGAACATTTTGCTACTGTGATTCACATAATCAGTTCTTTATTAGGAACGTATAATGCTTGTGCTTAGACTTCTACAGGACAAGTGCTGGCCACTTCCTCTGTTTGGCCACTGCAGAGCACAGAAAGGTCCAAATCCTTAACTGGCTCTCTTCAGTGGGACTGTGGGACAATCTGCAATAACCAGGATGAACGTGGAGAGGTGAGGCTGAACAAAAAGGTTACTGTCAGTCTTTTCCTCACTGACACTAGCCCTGATGAAAACAACACTGGTACTGTTATCACAAAGAGACATAGCATGGAGGACCTACAAGTACATACTCTCTGATGTAGCTCCAGCAACAGCTTCAGAGCAAGTTGCTGCATGTTGGAATAGACAGGTGAAAAAGAAGGACACAGAGAGTACCTAAGAGATTCAAGGTAAAGGCCATACCCCATTTGGTGCGTCAAAGTGATGAGCCTAGCTCACATCTTTTATAGGTAAGTGTAAGCCAGAAAAAATACACTGGCTTTATTTATACTGGTGTAAAATTGGCATATATGAGAGAAGACTCTAGCTTAGAAGTTATAAATACCAGAATTATGGGGAAGAATTAGGAGCTGGAATGACAGACAGCAATGTGGCTCAGAATTAATAGGCACTGGCAAGAAGGCAGGAGAAAACCTGCTCAGCTCCTGCCTCACTCATGCCAAATTCTGGCCTTTGCCTCAGTACCCTCATTCTTCTCTGCACCAGCTTCAAGTAATACCAGCTGTAAAGGAAGGAGGAGGGTCAAATAAGGTTGCCTTGCCTAAGGAGACTCCCCTTGTCTTCCTACACGTACAGATTTTCCTGTGCTAAGACTGCTTCAGGTTACTCCCACATGATGAGTGCACGAATGTAAGACAGAACTTTGCATGCCAAGGAGATGGCAAGAGACATCATTAAAACAGAGGGTGACTAACTCTTGCTGTATAATCATCCTGTTTCCCTAACATATTAAGGATGGGACTGAATATAATGTTATAGCTAGGAAAGAGCTTTCTCAAAAACTTTGTCCAGTAGTTATGAAGCAGGGATAAACTCATTTTTAGATTGCCTAGAGAAAGGAAAAAGAAAACAGGGTACCACAAGAAAATGACTATCCCTGTAGTGGGTAGAGAGTAAAAGATGTGCTCTGAAGTGCTGTATCATTCCACTCCTTATCTAAAGAAAAGGCTGTTGAGAAGAGAGGATGGAGGAATTCAGATTGGCTCTGTCTCACACTATTTTGCTGGAAAAGCCCTGCTTTTTTTGCTGGCAACAGGACACTTCTTATACTCATTCACTGTCACTGCTTAATATATTTAGCCTATATAGGGAAAGGAGAAGAATCACAGCAATTTAGTTCTCTAATCTTCCACTCTACTTCCAGCCTCTAAAGCAGGAGAACAGAGAAGCAACAGAAATCTCCTTTTTCAGATGCCAGAGATTTTGCTCTGAAGCTACATTTTCTGTGATATTATTTCTATTGTTATTATTTTGTGTGCTATTTATTTATTTATTTATTTATCCTTAAACTGAGGCTGGCTGCAGGATCCTCTCTAGTGGCCTTTCCTTATCTCAGACACAAACTCTCCCCATCTGTGGTCCAAGATCTCACCCTTGACTGGAGTCTTCAGATAGTCCATGTTAGACTGCAGCTATGCATGTACCACAACTGCAGGGCAAATCTGGCATTAAGACCATGAGTGATGTACTCACATCTGCTTTCTTAAAGGAAATTCGGCTGCAGATATAACAGGACCATGCAAAATAAAGAATGCTTTCCCTGTGGCATCTCCTCAAGAAGTATGAACAGCCCCTTCCCACCGCTTAAAACTATAGATGTTTTTCTCTCCCATATGGATGCACACACACAGAACAATATCTTCTCTCTATAAAAAGCCCTCCAGATGAAACTAGGAGATAAATCTTTCAAACGTGCCCAGGGTACTTCAATTCTACAACTTCTATTCATCTCTTGACTATGTTTTATTAGATCGTTGCCCAGCTATGGCTCAAGGCAGTTTCTGGCTTTGCTGAAGATTTGAATCACAGCAACTACAATGATTGCTAAAAGAGTACAGAAATCCTCAATAATTACAAGTATTAAACACTCTTAAATTGCTTTGAAAATTTGAAGCTGAAGAGCTTTATGGTGAAGTTCATCCTGAAGATGTGTTTTCTGGGAAAGTGTACCATGTTGATGAAATCAGGAAGCAGAGAGCTAGTCTCCAGGCTGCTTGATATTTAGATCTTAAAGCAGCATAGTGCCAGACATTGACACAATCATATTAAAGTAAATTTGTATGATTGGCAGTTCTCATACATTTTAGTGTTGGAACTGCAAGTCCTCCAGAACTCCAGTGCCTGTGAGTCCTTTCAGACACTGAAAATGCAGGTTGCTTAAGGTGAGAATAAACATTCATATAACTCTCAGCAATACAACTAGACTCCAAGCTTTTCCATTCAAGTCATCCATCCTGATGCTGTCAGTGAGTGTCAGTACACACTGCTGCTCCACCACCACCTTTTAAAGAATATAAGGAAAAATAAGGAAGGAGGAAAAGGTGTGGATGAAAGGCTGAGCAGGGAAGAAGTCAGTCATCCTTTTGTGGCCCATGCACAGTGGGGGCAGAGAGCTGGTAGTGGTATCTCCAAGCTGCCCTTCTTTCCCATCATAGATATTATCTTGGCAAAGGACTTCAGCAAGCTGGAAGCATAAAAAACTTGTATTTTCTAGTGGATGCTCTGTAGTAACCAAAAATTTAGGTGAGGTGTCCCTATGTTATCTTCAGTAGCTCATTTTGTGGAATAATTTTCAATCTAAAAAGACAGTACATGGGGAAATAAGACACCAGATAATCCAAGATCAGCAGCCTACTAGGTCTTCCAAGAAGATTCACTGGAGAATACCAGCTCATGCCAGTTCAGTTTTGGCTTTGATGAACTTCTGCCAAACCCAAGATGGAGTTCCAGTCTGCCCTGACACCTCAGTCACTACGTTAATTCCACAAAAATCTTTATATATTTTTTTTAATATATATAATTTTTCAGATTCATCTATGTTCAGTTTGAAAACTGTGGGGAAGAACTTCCTCTGAACTGGAAGCTCTGCTCTGCAGCCAGACTCCTGCCCTACTGAATAAGCCATGAGGCATCTGCCTGCTGGTATGCCAGCACAGTGGAATGTCTATGTGTGACACAGACATTGGAATCCATTGCACCATAGAGATGGATAATCTTAGACATACACATGAACTGACTCACTCATGTAATGAGCTAGTGAATGATGGCAGAGCTGGGTTTAGAAACTGAGGGCCAGTCTTTTCATTTCTCTGCCCAAAACATAAGGTCCCAGTCTACACAGCTCAAACAGCACCAAGTGTTGTCTACCAAGAAGAGAAAGAAGCTTGTACAAAATGCCAAGTAGTACCCTCACAATAAGGATATAGCTGCATACAAGAACTTACAGGAGATGAAAAGTTTTTTCAATACCACACTACTGGCAGCTGAATCTCATTATTGGTGATAACTTCAGATGGCCCCTCAACTGCTTCTTGCAGTTTCCTGCAGCAGCAGTTTGGATAACAGAATCCCACGTGGCCTGAATCTATTGCTATGTACAAGAGGTAATTAAATATTCATTCTGGCAAAAAGAAAAAATGAAAGGATGACACTTCTGCCATGATGATAGTATTCATACATGAAATACATGTTATCTGCTCAGATACTCAGATATCCACTTTTTCCTTCCTTTTATTTTGGAGCAGGATTAATTCCATTAACAGAATAACATTATAGCCACCAGACGCATATGAAGAATGAAAGATCAAGTTGCCTTAGGAAGAAGAGGTATTTGAATACAGTTTCTTGAATCCTAGTTATGCACACAAACTAATAACCAAGAAGAGATCCTTCTCCTACATTAGAGACAAAAAGTCAGGGAAGGATTCATGTTTATGAACATGAGGCAAATAACTTCCACTAGTTTGAAGCTCCAAAGAGATACAGAATTTAATATGCTCCTTTTACCTTGGTATTTCCTCTTGACTAGCTTAGATCTTTCTGGTTTTCATCCTGGATTACATGAACTATTCTCAGACATCAAACTCTCTCCTAGGCACTGTACAGACATCCTAGATACTGCAGTTGGGGCTGTGAATACAGCTCAAAGTAAAGTATGATCACAGTTAAGCACTGCAGTGCTGAGCCAGAGTCCTGATTCAGATCTTCATAAAAATTAACGTGCTAGGAAGGTTGTTTTGATCAAATGAGTGTAGGGCTACATGAAAACTGAGGAATTCAAATATTTGCCCCAAATTATTAAGAGAATAAGCAGGGTGTTGTTGGAAGTGGTTGTTTCTTTTTTTTTTTTTTTTGGTTGGTTAGTTGGTTTGAATTTTTTTATTCTTTTCCTCAAGCATCAGTCAAGATATGGTACTCAAGCCAGCCCACAAAGGAAGGAACATGGAGTTACAGAAGTCAGCATGGAAATACAGAATTTATCATGGAAAGTCACTGATGAAAGTCTGACTTATTTCTCTGGCAGCACCTTATAAAATACAGACTGTGGCTTGAAGGGAATTTGTTGATGTAAATTCACCAGAGCTCCACCTATCTTTGAGAATCTATGCTGATTTACACCAGCTT